CCAAAAGTCGGGAGGAAAACTTGGCGCTGGGAAACAAATTGTAGATCATCTGAAAATCATTAATTCAGGCGATTGCATTAAACTTGTACCACCACCTTGCGTCGACGACCACGAAACTTTGTCCACAAGAAGCCGGACCCACATACACCCCTCTCCCCCCCACCGCCGGGCCCACGCCACCCCCAGTCAGACCCACGCCACCCCAGCCGAATCCATATCCTTACCCAGCCAGACCCCACATCTCCACCCAGACCCACATTCTCACCCCAGCCAGACCCACATCCCCGCCCCTAGCCGGACCCATATCTCCACAAGCCGGACCCACACCTTACACATCATTAAGACATCATAAGACACATCTTAAAAACACCAGAAGTCGAATTTTCTTCCATTTCATTACTCGAGGTCGCTAAATGACTGGGTTAACACGAATTAACGTAATGTATTATAATGAAGGCATAGCTCACAGCAACACCACGTGGTAGGCCAACAAAGACTAGGACGTGATGAATGAACGCTTACTACGACGAGGAAAATATACATAATCCTTGAGAAAATGTGCTACTGATATTTATTGGGGGTGGGGGGGGGGGACAGGGGGTGTGGGGACAGGAGGTGTGTGAGGACAAGGTGTGTGGGGACAGGAGGTGTGTGGGGGCGAGAGAGTGTGTGGGGACAGGGGAGTTGTTGGGGACGAGGAGTGTGGGGGCAGGGGGGGAGTGGGGGGGCCGGGGAGTGTGTGTGGGGGGGTATGGGGGGCGGGGAGTGTGGGGAGGGGGGAGTGTGGGGGGGTGTGGGGGCGACGGTGTTGTGAGTGTGGGGCGACGGTGTTGTGTGTGTAGGGGTGGGGGTGTGTGTGTGTGTGGGGTGGGGGGTGTTGTTGTGTGTGGGGTGGGGGTGTTGGGGGTGTTGTGCGTGGGGAGGTGTTGTGTGTGGGGTGTTGTGTGTGGGGGGTGTTGTGTGTGGGGGGTGTTGTGTGTGTGGGGGTGTTGTGTGTGGGGGTGTTGTGTGTGGGGGGTGTTGTGTGTGGGGGTGTTGTGTGTGGGGGGTGTTGTGTGTGGGGGGGTGTTGTGTGTGGGGGTGTTGTGTGTGTGGGGGGTGTTGTGTGTGGGGGGTGTGTGTGGGGGTGTTGTGTGTGGGGTGTTGTGTGTGGGGAGGTGTTGTGTGTGGGGGAGGGTGTTGTGTGTGGGGAGGTGTTGTGTGTGGGGAGGTGTTGTGTGTGGGGGGTGGGGGCGACGGTGTTGTGAGTGTGGGGGGTTGTGTTGTGTGTGTAGGGGTGGGGGGTGTGTGTAGGTGGGGGGGTGGGGGTGTTGTGGGGTGGGGTGTGTGTGGGGAGGTGTTGTGTGTGGGGGGTGTTGTGTGTGGGGGGGTGTTGTGTGTGTTGTGTGTGGGGGTGTTGTGTGGGGTGTTGTGTGTGGGGGGGTGTGTGTGGGGGGGTGTGTGGGGGGGTGTGTGTGTGGGGGTGTGTGTGGGGGTGTTGTGTGGGGGTGTTGTGTGTGGGTGTTGTGTGTGGGAGGTGTTGTGTGTGGGGAGGTGTTGTGTGTGGGGGAGTGTGTGTGGGGGAGGTGTTGTGTGTGTGGGGGGGAGTGTGGGGAGGTGTTGTGTGTGGGGGGAGTGTGTGTGTGTGTGGGGGAGGTGTGTTGTGTGTGGGGAGGTGTTGTGTGTGGGGAGGTGGTGTTGTGTGTGTGGGGGAGGTGTTGTATGTGGGGGAGTGTTGTATGGGGGAGGTGTTGTGTGTGTTGTGTGTGGGGGAGGTGTTGTGTGTGTGGGGAGGTGTTGTGTGTGGGGGAGGTGTGTGTGTGTGGGGGAGGTGTTGTGTGTGGGAGGTGTTGTGTGTGGGGAGGTGTGTGTGGGGGAGGTGTGGGGTGGGGAGGTGTTGTGTGTGGGGGAGGTGTGTTGTGTGTGTGGGGAGTGTGTTGTGTGTGTGTGTGTGGGGAGGTGTGTGTGTGTGTGGGGGGAGGTGTGTGTGTGTGTGTGTGGGGGAGGTGTTGTGTGTGGGGAGGTGTGTGTGTGGGGAGGGTGTGTGTGGGGGAGTGTGTGGGGAGGTGTTGTGTGTGGGGAGGTGTTGTGTGTGGGGAGGGTGTGTGTGTGGTGTTGTGTGTGGGGAGTGTGTGTGTGTGTGGGGAGGTGTTGTGTGTGTGGGGAGGTGTGTGTGTGTGTGGGGAGTGTGTGGGGGGGTGTTGTGTGTGTGGGGGAGGTGTGTGTGTGTGTGTGGGGGTGTGTGTGTGGGGGGTGTGTGTGGTGTGTGTGTGGCACCTGAAACTCTCCATCAACTCTTTAATGTTTTTTCAGTCACTGTCACCCTCACCACCGAGAGACAGGAGACAGGACGAGACAATGATGGTGAGAGATGGCAAGAAAAGACCTCCAAGAGAGACAGGAGAAACCCCCCACCCCCCAAAAAAACACTTGTAGATGGACAGCGAGATACAGAAGAGTAACAAAAAGAATTCCCAAGAGACAGCAAAACAGAGAGGGACACCAGGAGACACCAAAGTCCTTCAGAGAGAGAGAGAGAGAGAGAGAGAGAGAGAGAGAGAGAGAGAGAGAGAGAGAGAGAGACCATAAAGGTCCTCCAAGAGTGACAGAAACAGCGAGACAAAGTGACACAGCAGATGAACACAAGGACCTCCAATGCGAGTCAAAGAGACAGGATGCCTCAAAGTCCTCCAAAGAGACAGGAGACCACAAAGGGACTTCAGAAGAGAGAGACAGAGAGAGGCAGAGAGAATACCACCTTCCTTCGAAATCTGTGGCAATGGTTACACAGATCACAGCTGCGGACCATCAAAGCATTTTCAAGCCAATCAACAATTCGCCAACTGCCCGTCCACCACCACTCCAAACCACAAGCAACCAAACGGCAGTCATCTCTCTCTCTCTCTCTCTCTCTCTCTCTCTCTCTCTCTCTCTCTCTCTCTCTCTCTCTCTCTCTCTCTCTCTCTGTTTCTAAGTATGTGCATCATATTTGTTCAAGTTCCTGCCATGGTGTATTTCGGGTATATCTTACTCAAGTCTACCCTGAGTATACTGAACCCAAATATACCCCTCTGTATACCGTCTCTAGACCAAAACAGAAAAAAACAGAAGAATTCCCTCCAATCTTAGGTTACATGAAGTTAACTGTCCTTCCTCCTGGCCAAACTGTCTCCCAACCGTTGCATCTGACATCTCCTAAAACTGGCGCCCTCTGTTTACAACCGGAGTAAACTGCTCCTCAATCTGATCTACGGCAGTCTATGGGCGGTGTAAACTTGAGGTCTCCATCCTGATCCACGGCAGTGCAGTTTACAGCCGGTGTATTACTTCAGGCATCACAAGTCCTCCCTCAGGTGTAAGAAGTTTCCCTACTCCAGATTACTAAAATAACCTTTGTCATCACTCGGGTGTAAACAGTGCCTTACAACCAGATGTCTTGAAGAATATTAACTTATACATCAACCTAAATCAATAATTTTCACATAATAAAAAATAATTGCTATAGGAAAACATTTAGTTAATGAGACCGCAGCTGTTCAAACTAACTTTCCTGTTAAAGAAAAAACTCCTGTACAATATATTTCTGGGAGAAGAAAATGGTATCCCACTGAAATATGAAGAGGAAGACCTTCACTACAGTATATATATATATTTTTTTTTGGTGTAGAAGGAGAGAGAGAGAGAGAGAGTGCAGCTAACTCTCGACTTCCGATCTCCCTCTCGGTCTAGGTCGGTGGTGGCGAAGTCCTCAGGCGGTCTCTCTCTCTCTCTCTCTCTCTCTCTCTCTCTCTCTCTCTCTCTCTCTCTCTCTCTCACACAAGAGTCAAGTTGGTCGGGAACACAAGAGGCTGGTGAGAGTCTCCTCCAACCATTTTTTTTATTTTTTTTTTTGCTTCTATAATTAAACGTCTCATACTTTCACCCGTTATCAGTCGAGTCGCTTCCTAGTTAACTGTTTTGCAAGTGCGTGCTGGTGCTTGAGTGAGTGTTAGTGCTTGAGCGCGTGCTGGTGCTTGAGTGAGTGTTAGTGCTTGAGTGCGTGCTGGTGCTTGAGTGAGTGTTAGTGCTTGAGTGCGTACTGGTGCTTGAGTGAAAGTTAGTGCTTGAGTGCGTGCTGGTGCTTGAGTGAGTGTTAGTGCTTGAGTGTTAGTGTTTGAATGTTCGGTGGTGCTTCAGTGAGTGTTAATGTTTGCGTGAGTGTTAGTACTTGCTGGTGCTTGAGTGAGAGTTAATGCTAGAGTATAAGTTGATGTTTGTGTGAGTGTTAGAGTGCGTGGTGATGGTGTAAATCTCTGCATGTACAAGCGAATGTACCAGTGTATATATCTACACGTATATATGAGAGAATATGTATGTAATTAATGTGTAAATACATAAGTCAAATACACGTTAGTATGCGAGTGCCATGCGAGCATATGTGCATAAGTTCACACACACACACACACACACACACACACACACACACACACACACACACACACACACACACACACACACACACACACACACACACACACACACACACACACACACACACACACACACACACACACACACACACACACACACACACACACACACACACACACACACACACACACACATAAAAAGACAATATATAACGTGTGGCGGGTGACGCTAACACGGCAAATTACCCGCCTACAACCTTGCCTCCACCATAACTAAAACTATTACAACTTTTAAATCACAACCATCTCTTATCACACCCACAAATTACAACTAACTCACCTCACAATAACATCAGTATATAGTAATCTTACCTCACAAAGATATGTCACATCAACTTGTTACGGGTTCAACTTCCTTCATTGCAACACCTAACTTACTCAACTTATCACAGCATCACGTTAACACAACCCTAACCTAACCTGTATCCCATGAGGTCTTAACACAACTTAAATTTATATATCTAAACTGGAACTAACGTGAGGGAGACGAAAGAGACTTAAAAGATAATAATAATAATAATAATAATAGTAAAACAAAACTTGACCATCGACTTACCTGCTCGACTCTCACTGTCGGCCGGTTTAACTTGAATCGGGCGGTTCATCTGAAAGGTAGCGAGAGAGCAACGTGAGTATATAGAATAGTGTTGACCCAGGTGGACTGGTTCATTAGTAAGTCTGTTCAGGCCACCTACAGTAAACTATTCTATTCCGGAACACGGGGTGGGTGGAGGGCGTGGGGGGGGGGGAGCGGGAACTTTGTCTCTGACGCCCCCTGCCACGAATTTAAAAATGCATAATGTGAAGAGCAAAGTGTTGTAACAGGAATGGGGGTAATCACGTTTTTTCCTCAGTGTATATAAGGTTAAGAGGCTTTTTACCCAGCCTGCATGAAGGCACATAATGGATAATGAGCTCAAGGGAAAATATTACACAGCAAGGAGCCAGTTGCCTCCTCGTGTAGGTATACGTCCCAACCAAGTCCAGCAACACGGTGAAGGAGAGTTAATATTTGGACAGGTACAGTTAAGTAACACGGTGAGTGGGGGGGGGGGATAATACTTAGACAGGTACATTTAAATAACACGGTGAGTGGGGATAATATTTAGAAAGGCACAGTAAGTCAAGGAACACGGCGGGGCGGGGCGGGCTAATATTTGGGTAGCACAGCTTAAATTAATGGCCAAGTTTAGCGCCCGGGGAAAGAAAAACAAAACTACACACTCTTCTGACTCGGGGAACGTTAATGCAGGCCAAACAAGTTTTTAATATAAACAAATTGACACGCCGAGTTAAAAAAAAAATCCGGCAAACTGAACTAAAAACATTTTAGCGTCGGCAAATTTTTTTAATGCAAGAAGGTGGTGCTATTTTTTCTGACCTTTAGAGTAAAGTTATGAAATTATTATAAAAAAAAGTCACACATATCAGCGTGAACGATGAAGTAATCAAATCAAATAGTAGGCTGCATTTTGTTATGTGGCTCCGATATATTTAATTTATTTAATTTGGATTCGTGTGCCGTTGGGGCTGGGGTTTTTTACCGGCCATATTGACGTCAGGCCGTGCTGTCAGCCAGAGCTCTCATCAAAAGTATTTATTAGCTTTTTCATTAGAGAAACATTTAATAATACAAATTGCAACATATTTTACCAATAAAACTCTGCACTCAACCTAACATAATGGATGAGGTAATCATGATAATTTATGTGTTTGTTCGTATGTTTTACTCTTCAAACAAAAATATTTGCAGTCTGGGCAAATATCTGAGTACAGGCGGTTATTTGGGTGACCTTGATAATTATTTTTGGTGTGTGTGTGTGTGTGTGTAAAGCACGAAAAAAAAATTCCTTCCTCCCTAACACTCCTCCCGTCGTGTGAGTGTGAGCTAAGAGGGAGAGAAGCAGCACCAGGAACGGGAGGAGGTACTCTGGCGTGTTTGAGAGTGCAGGCTGAGGCGCACCACCACTCACACCCAGCCATCACCAACTCCATCCTCCAACTCTACAGCACTATAGTCAACTTTAAACTTACCCGCCTCCCGCTGCACAACTTTAAAGTTACAATGTGTCCCGCGTCCAACCAACTCCGTCCTTTCAGAAGTTACTTGGAGCATGACTAGCAATGATATTTAATCACGGCGATAACTCGAGGCGGGCGGGGGGGGTATCACCGACGTTCCGCGCGGATATATCTTCCGTCCGCCTTGCTTCGCCCGTGTACGACTCGGTCCATCGTGCCGTCGCTACCCCGATGAGCACCACAGAACAACGCCCTACGTCCTAGATGTCTTCCAATGAACGAGGTAGTTTGGCAGTGAACGATGCAACGCGATTAAAAGCGGGCAGGTTTCAGTGTGAGGCCAGCCGGGTGAAATGACCAGGCGCCGGATCGCTTAGTATCGCCGGGCCCTCGCCAAGCCAGATACACTATCGGCTACACGCGTCGGGCCCCCGGAGTGCACTACATCTTCGGGTTCACGGTTTGGTATTCAATTTCTCCGATGCCAAATTTACTATTCATGGCTTTACGATTCCGTGCTCGATATTCCGGGGGCGTCAGCAGTCGGATAAACCCCCCCCCCCCATTAAATGTGTTTTAATTGTCGTGCGCTAACCTGTTACTGTAACGCACAAAAGAACATTCAAATGACATGGCAAAACTGGATGAGGGGGAAGGGAGGAGAGGGGAAGGGGAGGAAGAGGAAGGGGGAGGGGGGAAAGGAGAAAGACATGAGAGAAAGGGAAAATGACAGGGAAAGAGGGAAAAAGACATGAGGAAACTGTTGCAGAGGACAAGAGAGAGAGATCACAGCCATCACCCGTGTACACATACCCTGATAGGTTCCTGTAGTCACGCACACTCCTATAAATAGAGAGTCAAGAGCAATGCCCACACGCACACCCATTCTCGTTCATCACACACACACACACACACACACACACACACACACACACACACACACACACACAGAACTTACAAGCCAATATAACAGAAATGACATAACCTACAATACTACCACACCTAAAAAAAAAAACACAAATATTAAATAAATATCGAACACAACAACATAGATTGACTTAAGACACAAACAACAGCATCAACATCAGTATTCAAATTACCTTTACTAGATAAATTCACGTACAGCAAGACCAAAATTAACGTTAAGAAAAAAAAAATCCATGTTAATTCTTGTCCATCCCCACCCAACGAAACCCCACCCCACCTCACCCGACCTCACCCACCCCGCCTACCTGGTATATAGTTAGCTTTATCTAGTTTAAGGCAACAAAGTCTCAGTGTAATTTTTTTATTGTGTTTGTGGACTGGTATATTTTTGTGCTTCAAGTCCACCGGTTAGGTTCACTTCTCTTTGTTTAGACTCACTATTTAGTTAGGCTCACTACTCTTTGGTTAGGCTCATTACTCTTTCGTTAGGCTCACTACTCTTTGGTTAAGCTCATTTCTCTTTGGTTAGGCTCACTAGTCTCTCGCTACGGAGGAATATTCATCACCGGAACCTTTGAGACTCTGAAGACCGGGGAGGGAGAAAAAAAAGTATGGTTGGTTGAGGCAAGCAAGAGGCAGTAAGCGAGGCTCCCTCCTGCATTTGCCAGCGTTTGATTTGCCTTGTGTGCCGGAGTCACTCTTTCCGATTGGTTTGCTTTTAATTTGCAATGAATAAAACAGTCTCTTTGAAGTGAATGGACGCCTATTCTTAATTACATACCTGAGGCCCAACCTACCTACACAATACTCGAGCCTCTGTTTATTTTCTACTTAGTTTTTTTCTCTTCATTTCTCTCCTACAGTTTGTTCTACTAACTGTATACTTCACATTAAGGTTTAATTAATTATTACCTGTAAGGCTCTGACAGTCTGCTACACGCGAAGGTTAATGAACAAAAATATAAAAACTGATGAATAATAAACCATGATGAGGTTATTTATTTATTACTCAAAACTCTATTAAAAAGTCACTTCTTATATCACCAACATAACCCGTACACGTTTAATACCACGGCTGAATATCAAAATTACACCAAGAAATAAACATGGAAAGACATTCGTACGACATCTAAGCTTCAGTTCAAAAACACCAAATAAAAAAATTCTATAAAAAAAACAAGATACTACAGATGACTAAAGATAATCATTTTCTTACGTTACTTAACATTCCTATTACCATCTACCTGTGAGTCAGACTGGGCATGTGAGCGTGTGTCAGTTCTTTACACACCGTCAAAGAAAAAAAAGCCGCGTTTCACTTACCGTACCTTATATTCTGAAACCCATAATGAAGAATTTGGGTAAACTTTCTCGTTTAGACTCCCACCTTGAACTTTCGTTGTCACTTTATCCAAATTCTTCGCCAGGAGTCCCGGAACATAACGCTAGTGGGTGTAACACGATTTATTTTCTTGTCTGTACATTCTAATGGTTGAGACCAAAGTACTGTATCAGGTACATTGTGTGTGTATGTTCCAGTATAGTATGTGTAATCACTTTGTATTTGCAATTTCATATAGGAATACTGTGTATGCGAATAGGCAGTTACACATACAAACATACATATTCATACACATACCATATACTGCACATGAGCATATGTACATTTGCATACAGATGAATACAAAAAAGGAGTAATATTACGACCCTCAACACACACAACCCTCAACACAAAACTCCACCGTGATAAGACTGCCTACAATATCCCAGGAGTTAACAGTGGAGACGACAACACAACACCTCAACTTACTCTGCCCTGCCCTGCCCTGCCCTCTCCTACCCAACAAGGGGTCAACATTGGAGGCAGGAAGGAGTTCAGCTCACCACCACTACTGCCGGGGGTATTGGCCAATGGAGTCATGGCGGTGAAAATAGCCGGTGATATCTGGGTGTTTATTTTCACGGCAGAGAGGGGAAGGTTCGCCTCACGCCTGCCCTCCTCCCCTTACCTTCATGCTCCCTTGAGTCTGCCTGTCCGTATGTAACTATGCATGCATGTACAGTATGTGTGTGTGTGTGTGTGTGTGTGTGTGTGTGTGTTTTTGTTTGTTTCTGTGCTTATATAACTGCATAAATCTTCGTAACTATGTATGTATGTATGTATGTATGTATGTATGTATGTATGTATTGACTCCTTCACCTCCAACAACCTCTTAAATCCTACTCAATATTTACTCCTCTTTCTCTCTACTTCTCATACACTCCTCCCCTTCTCTCTTACCGTCATCCAAGCCCATCTACTCTCCTCTCCTCCCTCACAACCAACCCTCATCCACAACCAACCCACATCCACAACCAACCCACATCCACATCCCACCTATTTACCCTCTATCATTCCCATCCACTCCTTCACCTACCCACATTAATTTTCTCTCTCCACTTTCCTCCCTCTATCCTATCCACACCACCGCCTATTCACCTCTCATTCCATTTCTCCTGTCCATTCCATCCATCGCTGTACCCCGTCAACCTTCCCCCTTCCATCACGTGCCAACCTACTGTACAATACCGACCCCTCCCCTTCCCTTCCCTGTCCTCCTGCCGCTGCTGTTTCTTCCCTATCACGACTGTTAAACAAGACAGCTACATATTGAGG